CCACACAACAACAAAAAATACTAATTCCACACATGAAATTATTATAAGTCCATAAAGGATGGAAAATTTTCTAAGTCCACAACACAGGAAAAAAACTAAGTCCACACAACAACCAAAAAATACTAAGTCCACACAACAAAAAAATACTAAGTCCACAACACATGAAAAAATACTAAGTCCACAAAAAAAAAAATACCAAGTCCACACAACATGAAAAATTTCTAAGTCCACAAAGAACGAAAAATTTGTTAAGTCCACATGACATGAAAAAAAAACCCAAGTACACACATGAAAATATTCTAAGTCCACAACACAGCAAAAACAACTAAGTCCACACACCATGAAATTTTTCTAAGTCCACAACATGAAAATTTTTCTATGTCCACAAAGAACGAAAAATTTACTAAGTCCACACAACCAAAAACATACTTAGTCAACACCACAAAAAATACTAAGTCCACACACCATGAAAAATTTTCTAAGTCCACAAAGGATGAAAATTTTTCTAAGTCCACAACATGAAAATTATTCTATGTCCACAAACAACGAAAAATTTTCTAAGTCCACAACACAGGAAAAAAAACGAAGTCCACACAACAACAACAAAATACTAAGTCCACACACCATGAAAATTTTCTAAGTCCACACAACATGAAAATTTTCTAAGTCCATAAAGGATAAAAAAATTTTCCAAGTCCACAAACATAAATTAGTCCAATTCCACAAGAGGAAAAAAAACTAAGTCCACAAAGACAATATTTCAAACTCCACAAACAAAGACAATATTTCAAAGCACAAAATATGAAAAATATACCAAGTCCACACACATTGAAAATTATTACAAGTCCACAGGATAAAATAATACTAACTCCACAACATATGAAAATTTTTCTAAATCCACAAACAATGACAATATTTCCAAATACAAAAACAAACAATAAAATAATACAAAGTCCACAAACATCAAAAATATAATAAGTCCACAATCGATGAAAATTATTCAAAGTCCACATACATTAAAAGTTATTCTAAGTCCACAAACATTGAAAATTATTACAAGTCCACACAAGTTAAAATAATACTAACTCCACAACATATGAACATTTATCTAAGTCCACAAACAATGAAAATTTTTACAAGTCCACACACGATACAAAATTATTCCCGGTCCACGGACGTAATACATTAATACGGAGCCACAGACGATAAAACATTTTCTATATCCACAAAATATTCAAAGTCCACAAACGATAAAATAATAACAAGTCCACAAACATACCAACTACACATACACAAAGGCTAAAATAATACTAACTCCACAAACATCATAAATTATTCCAAGTCCACATACATTAACAATTATTACAAGTCCACAGAGGATACAAATTATTCTAAGTCCACACAACATGACAAAAATACTCAGTCTACATTGAAAATTATTCAAAGTCCACAAACGATAAAATAATAACAAGTCCAAATACATATTAATTATTCAAAGTCCACACAGGATCAATTAATACTAAGTCCACAAAGGATATTCAAAGTCCACAATCATTATACATTATTCAAAGTCCACATAAATTGAACATTATTCCAAGTACACAAACAATAAATTATTCAAACTCCACAAAATATTCAAAGTCCACACAACATAACAAAATATTCAAATATCCACAAACATCATTAATTATTCAGTCCACATAAATTGAACATTATTCCAAGTACACAAACAATAAATTATTCAAACTCCACAAAATATTCAAAGTCCACACAAATTGATCATTATTCCAAGTACACAAACAATAAATTATTCAAAGTCCACACAAATTGACAATTATTCAAAATACACAAACAATGAGACATTTTCAAAGGATAACAATTATTCCAATTCCACACAAAATACACAATTATTCAAAGTCCACACGGGATAAAAAATTAGTCCGATTCCACCGGCGTAATACGTTATTCCGAGTTCGCGTGGGTCGATAATTATTGCCGGTCCTCGGACCCGACGCGTAAATTTCCCGGTCCACAAAAGGCAAAACAAATTCAAAGTCGACAAACATTATCAATTATTCAAAGTCCACAAAGGTTAACAATTTCAAGTCCACAAACAACTACAGGTTGTAACTCTCTAGTCCGGCATTCTGTGCTCCGCAAACTCCCGTGGTCCAAAACAATTTTACTTTCTCCAACAGGTACATAGGCAGTTTTTTTTTTTTTCTTGGAAATTATCATTATTATAGCAGGAGTATTAAATTGTGGGTCAGTGACTTATGCCCAGGTGGGCTAATCCCCTAAAAAAAAAAAAAACCCAGGAAATTAAGGTTTGTTTACATCCAGCACTTCAGCTGCTCTCTCTCTCTCTTTGTCTATAGAGTACAACATTTAACCCTTCAGCAATAAATAAGTGTTGCTTTCATATTCTTATGTACAGTAATGACGATATCTTTTCACATGTGCGCACTCACTTTTTTTATGGTTAACTACTTATATTGTTCCATTTTTTAACATTAAATAACATTACACGTACTTCAAACGAGCATATTAATTTTTTTACATTAATTTTACTGCAGCTAAAATCAGGGTCTTATTTTCTTCAGTTTTATATGTACAACCAATCGGTCACTGGTTTTGTGAGCTTTAACGTAAACGATGCCGGCAGCCGTCTCGTCTCGTCTCCTCTGATATTCCACGTATTAATAATAAATTCTATTGTTAATTTTGCACACACAAACATTAATTCAATAAAAACAAATTCACAAACATCAATTACAATATATATGAACAGTAAATAAGTGTTGCTTTCGTATTCTTACGTAAAGTAATGACGATATCTTTTTGCATGCCCACTTACGCGCGCGATCTCTTTTTTTTCTTTACCGTTATCGTTAGCTACTTCTATTGTTCCATTTATTAACATTACTTAAAACAACCATAGTCATTTGACTACAGCTACAGCCAAGGTCTTATTTTCTTCTCTTTTATATGTAGAACCAGTCAGTCACCGGTTTTGTAATCGACGAAAACAATGCCGTGTGTTTTAATATTCTACGTATTATTAATGAATTGTATTGCTCATTTTGCACACAAACAGTAATTCAATAAAAAAGACATTCAATAATGAATCTTTTCTACACGAGAGAAATGACGCTCTTTATGCGATTGTGCCAGTCGTCTGCACGTTGGCGGGCCGTTCAAACCCGTCGAAATTCCACTTTCCGCCGTCAAAATTTCTATTTATTTATTTTTGGCTCTGTTCCAATAAAATACGTTAAGAATTAAAAACTCTCCAAATTTCACGAGCTACTATACGACATTTAACCCTTCAATATGTCTTCAAAGAGGCCGTGATGCAGAGAAAGTGGTGCTAGTGCTTCCAAGCATAAGCACAAGTCACTATCTATCCAGGAAAAGGGTCAATTTCCATGGTCCGGTCCCGAGGTTGCCCGACTAGAGGTACAACATTTCGGTCCACAAACATGAAAAATATACAAAATATCTCACTTATTCAAAGTCCACATACATGCAACACATTTTCCAAATCCACAAACCAAAATAATTTCAAACTGCACAAATGACTATACTATAATCAAACAACAACAACAACAAGTCAAAACATTTTTCAAACTACAAATAACTTCAATCAATTACAAACAAACATATACAAGTCTACAAATATTCGAAGACGACCGATCCGCGGACGATTGACTTTCGTCGACGACGCCACATTTTTTACGACTCCGCGAACGAATCTACGACGACAAAAAATAACTCCGCGACTCCCGCAATTTATTGCGGCCGTTCCGGTCGATTCCGACGACGCCAAACTCCCGACAAAATATTCCCGGTGCGCAATTGACACCCTTCAAATTAAAACCAATAACTATTCCACAATAAACAATTTCACAAGTCCACAACATTAACTTACACTCTTCAACTATTTCCCGATATATAACTGCCCAAACCCGACGCGACCGCGTATTCAAACTACAGACGGTACGTGCATTCTCGTCCTCGATGACAGTTACTTTCCAAATCTAAATAGAACTCCTCCTCTTCTTAACAACAAAATTTAGTCAAATATCAACACAATATATCTAATTCACACTCACAACATATATATAACAACAAATAAATACAATCCAACATACACACAGCAGCAGTAATACAACCACAAATTCAATTGGTAACAACAAACATATACAGGAACACAAAAACAACCAACAAATGGGAGTAACAACAGGATCAAGAGCAATGGGAGGGTGAGAAACAACAAGGGAATCACAATCAAACAGAGGAGGAGAAGGAACAGACGCAGAACAAGCCAAAGAATAAACGAGGAAGACATATGGCGAAGAGGAGGAGTAAAAGAAGGAAACAGGAAGAAGAAGAGGACGGACAGAAGCAGGTAGGGGGGAGAAAAACGAAGGGAGTTGCAATGAAACGGAGGGAAAAGAAGCCGCACGACAAACACGTCAAAAAAGGAGGAGGAGGACGGGGAGGCAGAGGGAAAAGACAAAAAAGGGAGGGCTTACAAATTAAACATTGTGCTCGTATTCCTTCCCCTACTCGTCCAACAAATTTTATTATTATACAAACGCCTTCACAATAAACACCTTAACACGAGTCGAGCAACACGGAGTACGGGTGAACGAGTATAAATTCAGGCCAAAAATATATTACTGCTGCATTACGTATTTCCTTACCGGTAGATGTCGCGGTCTCAAAATAGGTACCCACGCGCACTCCACGACTGCCCGCTCTCAAACGCACTGCCACAATTACGTAAAACTAATACACCTGTCGAACCTTCCCGCCATTTCAAACACGCGACTCTTAGTTAAATCTACTTCCAAATCATTCTTTCCGCATCTCGCGGGTATACTTTCGTTTGTGCGCCGCCTCGTCTCCGTCCGAATTCCCGTCCGTTCTCCGTCGGTCCTCTTTCCCGTCCCGTAAACGGACCCCGATCGACCGTCGTCCGTATCCGCACGCGCCCGCACCCGCCGCTTTACGTACGACCCTTTCCTAAACCGCCATTTACTAAATTCGTCGTCGTCCGTCCCACGTCGAAAGGTTATTGCGATCGTCGCTTCCGCCAATTTCCCCGCAACTTCTTTAAAATCCCCGTCGCATCCGTTTCTCACAATTACGCCGACTCGGCACTGACGAGTCAATTCCTTTAATACCCTACAAAATATATCATTCGTTGTCCCCCCCACCACCATCCTTATCACCTTTTACTTTATATCTTCACTAATATATAACTACTCTCTCTGTCCTAAAAAACCCACCAAATAGTCATCATTTCTCCATTCTTATCGGTTACCACAACAACACCATCTATGTCGGTCCGATCTCCCCCGTTCTTTTACTTTCAAAAGGCGCACTTCCCCGCCGCCGCCGCCGCGTTCTCTCGTATTTATGCTGCCGTTATTTACGAATGCGTCCCGCCACAAATGACGTGCGCGCCGCATTCCGTGACGTTCTACGATCGTAATCATCTCCCCAAATTAGTGCAAACACCTAGTGATCACAGGCAACATCTTCAATAAATTCATTCTCGACATGTATCGACTTCCTCCGTCTTCGCAGAGTCGGTCTCTAAAAACAATACTACAAACATTATAACAATCGTTACAAACAACACGTACATTCATTTTACACGTTAAATCGTCTTTAAAACAATCACGCCGGCCCGACATTGATGCGTGTCTCCTTCTGCGTTGACGAGTGTCTTCCCGCACTCGGGAGTGTGGCGTTCTTCCCGTGTTCCGGAGCATCTTCCTCGCGCGTCGACCGGTGTCTTCGTCCGCAGTCGACGAGCGTCTTCGTCCTCGGTTCCCGAATGTCTTCGTCCGGCCCGCTCTCGTGCGCCGACTGTACGAGCCGTCTCCGACTCGTATCGGCGCGCTCCTCCGCAACTGAAACGGACAAATTACTGTCAAAATATATCGACAATTATCTACTATTACAAATTCTACTAATTCCCAAACAAACTTCATCTAAGTTCATTCTTTCTACAGTATACCTATACACAAACATATCTACACACTATTGCCAACTAAAACACACAGGCATACTCGACTACCCCACAATTACTCCTCCCGCTCGTGCCGTACGCGGGCGCCGACGTCGCGCTCTGCCGTATCTCCGTAAATACCCGCGACCCCGTCGCCTAATACAAAATCAAACTCGCCGCTCCTCCACCCGTCGGTACGGTGTGCTCGTCGCCACCTCCCATACTTAACGATTATCAAAAAACATACAATATACCTATACATAACATAATATTAATTGTACATATTCGTACCATTCCCAAGAACTCGAGAAATCTATAAGACGATTGGGAAAGTCCACTCGATCCGGACCGAATGTACGTCGTGCTCTCGAGATCGTACCATTTACGTCTGTGAACGTCTCGCGAACGTAACTTCCGCGACGACGGAGATCCGGTACGAGGATAAACGTGTTGGCGGTGAACCAAAAACTATACGGCGAGTTCTGCTATAACGCGTGTTTTGACGACGCAATTTATGGATTGAGGAACGATATTTGTAAAACGCGAACTCGTTTGCTCCGACGCCATTCCACTCGAACGATTGTTATGGCTTCGGTTCACGTTCGACATCGCGTGTTCAATTGAGTCGTGTGTTTTGTTTGTGAACAATTGCAGAAATAATGTATGTAATATTTATGTATACAGTATACCTATATAGTATAAGTCAATTGTAAAATTTTAAATAAAAGAGACAATCAAATTACATAGCGTTTTACACCGGCGCTCTCTTTACATCACACAGTGTTTACGGTTCACGTTCGACATCGCATATTCAATTGATTTATGTGTTTTGTTTGTGAAGAATTGCAGAAATAATTTATGTAATATTTATGTATACAGTAAACCACTCACAAGGTCCTACAGTGACAACAAAGGGAAAGTGACCTCGACTGTGACCGTCTGTGCCTATTTTTAGCCGTCCTTGTGGTCGGTAATGCATATCGGTATATTTACTGATCATAATACTTATCTCCTATAAATAATTCATTTGAAATTTATTTTTGGGCAAAGAATAGTCGGTAAATGACTGCGTTAATTCTTGAAACTACCCACATTGGTAAATTTAGGACATAAATGATGAACGGAAGTCACGTCACGGATTCGGAGTTTGGTCCTTAACGATCGCCATAAATGTACATTACCGGGTATAATGGTAGCCTCCCTTTTTCCAGAAAAAAGTATATAAATTAAAGAAAATACTTGCAGCATATTTAATATATTACAGCATATTATAAATAAATAAATCAACAAATAAATTCAAATTCCCTTATCATCCTGTGTTATAAACAGAAATACTCGAGTCCCCGAGCGAGTACACAAAAAGAAAACGGACGACCGACACATCCTCGAGTGGATAGAGAACGGACATCTCTACTGGGGGACTCGAACGTTTCTCGTGTTTTGTGGGCGCTGTAGCATAAGATGAATATGTAAATTGTAAAAATTTAAATAAAAGAGAAAAACAAAATAAGTAGCGTTTAAAGTGTACTTTACATTGTGGCTTGGCGCAGGGTTATGCAGTGTTTACAGTTCACGTTCGACATCGCAAGTTCAATTGATTTATGTGTTTTGTTTGTGAAGAATTGCACAAATAATTTATGTAATATTTATGTATACAGTATACCTCTACAGTATATGTAAATTTTAAATAAGAGAAAAACAAAATACATAGCGTTTTAGACCCGCGCGCTCTGTTTACTCCACACTTTGTTTGAAACACGTGTGAAATTTTTAAGTGTCCTCGGTGATTACTGTTTCTCCAATTTTGTGACTATGGAAAAGAAGAATATCTCTGGGAAGCACTCTGGTGATCATAAAAGAAAGGCTATAACACTCGAAGAAAAGCTTGATGTTTCATGACTCCTCAACATCAATCTTCTCCCCCATCAAGTTATATTCAGATTTTTTCAAGGTCAAGTGTAACATTTACTGTATGATTTCAATATTAGATATCAATGTAACATTTATTTAGACTGTACTACGAAATTTTTGTCGATTTGGAGTAATCTGCACCTAACCCTATTTTCTCCATAAGCCCTGTCATTTCTATTACACGAATTTCTATAACACGATGTTTTACAAGAACACAACTATCGCATTATAGCAGAACTACCCGTACTCGAAAGGAAACGTCTCGTATGCATCCGCGTAAACTCGATACGCCTCGTCTCCTCGGGACGTGTACGGCGATGAGGATAATCTTACGTCTGCGTTCAAATGGTGCAATGTGTCTGAGGAGGATCCCTAATTACACTTTTAAGGGAAGTGGATATACCCACGCCACGAACTTTCGGCTTCTGTTCCGAGGGATCGTCCCGTGTACCCGCCTCCGGCGTGCCGCGTTCCTATTATGACCCGCAATGTGCATACAATAACGCCTACTTGCAATACAGTATAAAACATAGGACATAAATACATATACCTCATCCTCCATTACAAGCTACTACATTCTTAACCCTTACACCCAGGTGACGTCCATCTGGTCTCCCCTTTGTGGAGGAGGGGGTGGGGAGAATTCATCTTGTTTCTCGATTTATCCCAATAGGAAGGGAGGGGGAAGTGCCAGCAGCACCCTAACCCTTGGCTTAAACTCCCATTTTTTAATAATACTTTTCATATTGTATCCAACACTTTTAGACCAGATATGACACCTTCAATTCTATATCTCTATGCTAAATTAAGTACTCTCATTATAACACTTGTAATGTCCGTCCCTCTACGCATTTTCGATGGCACCCGAGTCTCGTCGTCGGTCGCATTTTCATTTCTCCCTCGTTATCTTTACGTTCTACTACTCTTTTACTCGTAAATTCCCGTCTTATTTCCTCTCGGTAACCGGTCAAAACTTCCTTCGATATTTCGTCGACGACGCGCCGCTTAATAAATTCTCGTCTCCCTTAAAAACCTTCCACTTACTCTACGCAATTCCTACGGAGACGCCGAGGCACGCCACATACGCATTCCTATTCTTCAGAGAACCATTAAGTAAATACCGTACACTGCGATATAAACATTACAATACGGCGTCGTCCGACATTCTCACCCGCGGTTCGAGCGGCGTCCTCGGCCGGGGTCCGTCGAGTCGCCGGTCCGCACAAAAATGACGTTTCTGACTCCCGTCGGGTGACTGCAAATGAAAAATTAAGGTTAAAAAATATACATAGTCAATTAGGCATGCAAATTATACATGAACCCTTGACACCTAACCCAAATATCTGAGTACATTCTCTAAAGACCTGGATACATTTGCCAAACATACACTTTCCATTGGAAAATCTTACATACTTAGGCAGCCACCAAACGGGGAGATACCACCTCCGCAGACAATATTGGAAGCGTAATGTGTCGTCCGTGGTAGATCTTCCTGCTACGTGGCATCCCTAAAATTGTGACCGAGTCCCGGGTCGCTCGTCTGACTCTCTGCCTCGTTAACACGCGATTGCGGGGTCTCGATTGTTTCTCTTACAACACAACATAAATCTATTGTTCCTCACTTTTGATTTTTTTTTCCATTTTGTATTTCTTTAAGGTTCTTCAGTATTATTGTTACATATAAACTAGGTTACCCCATATTTATGGCAATATGTTTTATTTTACTTGTGCAATAATGCGCCACTTTGAATGCGCACGCGTGTTTTGGTTTCGTTTTTACGGACGGTCCCGAAAATATACCGGAGAGAGCGTCGTCGTTTGTGTCGTCGTCTGAGCCTCTCGCATCATATTTCGTTGATATCCACCAAAAATGAACACTGTAACTTCAACAATTATTATTATTATTACATTTTCGCCCCGATGTGGGTCGGTGACCCGTGCCCGGGTGGGCTAATTCCCATAAAAAAAATACGTATTATTTATTTACTTTGCACTCTTATACGTACGAGTGTCGACGAAATTAATCTGCCGTTATTTACGCGATCTCATTTCTTGCGCACTTTCGACGGTTCGACGCGTGCCCTCGTTCTACTCCGGATGCACGTCAAATACCCGACGACGACGACGACGACCCCTCCGGGAACGTCGTAGCGTCGACCTCCGGCGCGCCCCGCGACGAGAAGACCGCTCCGGAATTTCGACGAGACGTCACGTCGAACGGCGTTCCGGACTATACCCTCGACGATGACTGCGAGTGGCCTCGGACCAAACCCCACGCCTCCCGAGACACGGTCGAGTGAGGCTTCGGTCTCCGTGCTCGCCGATCGCCGCAATATAATACCAATTAAAACACTGCACTGTATGGCAAGTCTACCCTACAATGAATCCCCAAATCTGCTGTACCAAACATTCACTTGCCTAAAACGGTTAGCACAGACACATCCACCCAGGCAAAAGAGGGGACTTCAATCGACTACTCTTGTTACGGCGGAGGAGCCGCGCGCTCGGTCCGTGGGCGTCAAACCCGAGCGTTCCTTTAATCGCGGGCTGTGGTTCCGCCGGAAGATGCCGTTCCTTAGTTTCTGCAACGTGAAAGCCCGTCCTCCCAATTTCTCGCACGGCAACCGCCGGACGCGACCGCCTGCCGATGCCCTCTGGGTCCCACGCCACCCAAACAAACCCACCTAACTTTAGTAAATGGAAACGTACGTGCCCGAGAGTGGCGTACGAGTATTCTACGCGTGTCGCCGCATTATTCTCCCGCCGAATGCATTCGCCGCTGCGCATTTCGATGCGTTTTCCATTGAAGGACTAGGGTGTGGTTAGCAAATTATTTGTTCCTCTAATTGACATATATACAACTTATAAACCCTTCTTCACACTCACAATTTATAATTATAGTCACATATTTTATAGCAAACTCCAATAAACTTATCTAATATTTATCCCATTAATATCAACACTAATAACTGGTCACTTCGACTAAGTGTGTGTAGTGTAATTGTAATCACACAAAATGGTACATTATTAATAAGGTGACCATCATATACTATAAAACTTATTAAATAAAACACAAAAAAGGAACGACAGGTGCTAGGAGAGAAAGGTGGTATGTGGAGGGAAGGGATAGAGGGGTGGAAGGGAAGGATAATAGATAAGGAAAGGAAGAATGGTACGTGAAGAAAGGGAGGGGGGACAGATGGTGGGATAGAGGGGTGGAAGGGAAAGATAATAGATGAGGAAAGGAAGAGTGGTAAGTGGAGGGAGGGATACATTTAGCTGGAGGTAGAGGGAACAAGGGGTGGTATAGTCGTCAAACTATCCGTTAATCTTTAACGTCGTGTACTCGGAGCTTCCGTCTTCTCGAGTGCCGGAGCGGGTCGCCGCAGTTGTTTTGGGGGTCGACCGCCGGGCAAGTTTTAGCATTCTTACTCAATGAAATACTGTACATTACAAATACACGTATAATATGACCTTAAGCTAAAATAACCGTTGACTGAGCTTTAGTTATCCTTAAAATAGCATCCATAAAAATAGAAAAACACGTAGGTTATTCTCGACGATCGTCTCGCGTCGGAGAGCGGCACTCGCCGACCCGTCTCCGGAGCGACGATCTACGGTCGTTCTTCGTGTCCTTCTCCCGGATCGCGCTTCCGCTGCCCGAGGCGACTTCTTCTGTGGGTTAAGTTTGTGATGTGAATGCTGCCTGCATTTAATAATTATACTGCACTACATCTATACAACCATTGCATAGGGTATTATAAATCAATCATAATGCCCTCGTAAAATATCGTGTTGATAATTTTTAATTTGTGTCGTGTACCGGTAAGCAGAGTGTCGAGTGGCCGGAGGTGTGTCCCGGGCCGACGGCGAGACGATACCCTACGTGATGGAACTAATCTACGATCGTAACTAGTCTATTGCTAGAAAATGCAATATACTGCACGCGAGACTACGTAAACGAGTACTTCTCGCAAACGACGACGGACCGTACGACTGCGCAATACGGGCCGAATCTCGAGCGGGCCCGCATCCGCGGACGGACGCGAGAGAGCGGTCGGGACGGACCGCCCTCGGCGTGCCCGTCGACGGACACGCGCGCGACAAAAATCGCCACGACTATTTACTAAACGAAGAAACGGCACGCCGACGTCGACGACCCGACGGCATTGTCGAATATTACGTCGTCGACGCGTTTACGTAAAATTGTTACCGGTCCCGCGTACGCGTCGGTGACCGACGCACGTACGGTACGACGTCGATGTGACGCGAGGCGCATTCCTAGAGAGCTAATAGCTTTAAACCAAATTTGGACTCAATTAAAGTGGTTTCAATGGAACAATTTACTTTGGTACTCGAGACTAACACAAAATACTAAAAAGACCCAATATACCCAAATGCACCTCGGCCCATCTCCTACAAAACATCGTTTTTGTAGTATCGCGTTAAAACGGACGCTCGTAAATCGACGCGGCTAAAATTATGAGACGCGAAATGGCCCGTTTACTCGTGATCGGATTCGCGGCAAGATGGGGAGGAGGGTTATCGGTTTGACAGTTGATGCCAAGGTCTAGAGCTTATTTATTTATCTGTCCTTAACAGTGACTTTCAGGTTTTCTCTTATGAAATATCACTAAACTGACTTGGAAGAATATAATTAACATTGCTGGAATTCTTATAAAATTGTGATTACTTTGAATATAAACATGCTATAGTTCACATACAAATTTTAGTTGTAACTAATTTTATTACAAAGGGCTACAAATTTTTATCTCTTGTGCAAAATATACAACGTTTATGTTAAAATTATTAGCCGTCTTGTAACGATTTTAGCAATGCAAATTAAATTCTAACTTTTGTCTGTGATATTACTTAAGATAAAGCCCGGCGACACCGACGGTTGGCGCCCGGGTCTGTGGCGCATTTTTTCCCGGCCGGGAAATGACCCGGGTGAATATAATTAACATTCTTGGGATTCCACGAGACATAACAATTTTAGTACCCAAATCAAATTAGTACAACAAAACTCCAGCTTTGCACTAAGGTCAATTATTTCTTTTAGTATGCTGTGTGCATGAAAATAAATGAAGAAATTGATGTAAATCTACCCAAAAATACAGTTCAAAAACTTTATATTATAAAATGTACTACAGTACTGTACACTAACGTACAACAATTTTTATCTCTCGAGCAAAATATATGACGTTAACATTCAAATTATTTGCTGTCTTGCAAGGATTCCAGCAATGCAAATTATAATCTCCTAACTTTAGTCTGAAATATTATGTAAGATAAAAACTGTAAGCCTAAAACCCTGGCTCAACAGATGGGGGAGAGAGTTAAGAGGAGATGTTTGACAGTTTGAGCCGAAGGTCTCTGTGAGTTTATTTAACAGTCCTACTAAGCTTCTCTCATTTTAAAATGCCAGTGAAATGACCTGGTACAATATAATTAACATTGCTGGGATTCTTGTAACATACTGATTAATTTGAATATAAACATGCTGTAATTTGCACCGGACATAACAATTTTTGTACCGTAATCAAATTAGTACAACAATGCTCCGGCTTTGCACCGAGGTCGTTTATTTCTTTTACGTTTCTTTTATTGTGGTGTCTGCATGTAAATGGATGAAAATAAATGAAGAAATTGATATAAATCTACCCAAAAATACAGTTGAAAAACTTTATATTATAAAATGTACTACAATTTTTATATCTTCAACAAAATACAGTATATATAATGTTTATATTCAAATTATTGGCTGTCTTGCAAGGATTCCAGCTATGCAAATTGTAATCCCCTAACTTTAGTCTGAGATATTATATAAAATAAACACCTTAAAGCATAAAGTTTTCACCAATGTTTTGTCTGGGAACACAAGGAGGGAGGTAGCCAGCGAGCGTGGGAAGAAGGGGGAGGGGGGGAAGTGAGGTGACAGAGTGTCTTTATTTATTTGAGATACGATTTGACAGTTGGCGCTGAAGGCCTGCCCGAGTGTTTATTTATCATTACTTGAGAGTGACTGAGCTCTTCTCATAATTTGCCACCCAAACGACCTGGTTGAATATAACTTACATTGCTGGGATTCTTGTAAGATGGTATTTGAATATCTGTATAAACAATCTATATTTGCCATAGACATAACAATTTAAGTACCACGATCGTTTGGTACACGTACAGTACGGGTTTGCACTTAGGTCCATTGTTAATCGAGGGACCGCTGTATTGCAGTGTACTTATACTGTACAATATTGACTAAATTCACTAGATAACGTACACAACTAATGGTTGGTAAAACTTGTCGAGTCTCTCGGCACGAGTGGCACGTGTTAGTGCTTGCGTCTCCCGTCGTGGAAGTCCGTTTTCTCTCGCTTCGGGATGCCCGAGTCCATTTTCTCTTAATCTTAGAGTGCAGTGCACCAGAGACTTCGTTATTCCTCGGTAATGACACAGAATTTCAAATTGCAACCCCAATTTGTTGAGGCAACTAGATATGTCCGATTACAGCAAATGTGTTATTGTCAATTTGTAGGTAAAAGATTTTATCCTCAATAGATGTAGGTTAACATTACACCTGGAGGAAAATGCTTACTAAAGCCTAAGGAATGATATTCCTTTAACACATAACATCTAGCCGGTACGGGAAGGATCGTCGTGTCTCCGTCGGGGGATCCCGGAGTGGTGGTCCGGCAGGCGTCACGGAAGTGTTTTTTCGAGGGGGAGGGGGCACGGACGTATATGCTATCGGACGTTAACCGGCGCACGACCGTGTATGTTTTTGAAAGATGCAAATCCTCCGAGGATTCGCATCGCACGAATTCGGATTGCGTGTCGTAAATGGACGCCGTGCCGGTCATTACTGATGTAATGATTCATTGTCAGACCGAAGCTTACAGCCCAGAATTATGTCACATATAACAGCAAGCACACTACAGACCTCGTGGTACCGCCACATTCCGGGTTGACACACCTCGGGTCGACCCTAGGTACTTGACCTCGCCGCTAATGACGTGAGTTAGCCGGGTGACCTACAACCTCACCTAACCAAGACACCTGGGCAGGACCACACCTGCACACAGCTATCCAGATCTAACCAGTTTAGTGATAATTGGTTAGAGGTCAAAAGCCGGTTGGGCCGACCCCACGTAAAGGCCCTACGGTCCCGTCCACCGTCATTCTGGTCATACTGATTCTCATTCTGGTTGCTGTCGTCTCTCTCCCGTTCGGGTCGTCACTCGGTTCGCCGAGCGGAGTCACGCACGTCCCCTCCCCGGGTCGGGAGGGGGACTTCCCGACCGGACCACGGCATCGCCAGCTAAGCGGGTTCTCCCATAGGAGGCAGCCCAGCCAGCACTCGCTGGGCCTACGTCAGGGTACGCGTGAGTCTTGTCAGAACGTCCTAGGGTGAGTTACCTACTGTGGGAAGTGTATTCATTCGGGTGTGTCCGAGAGTCGGTGTCGAGTAACGTAAAACGTAATGTGTTAGTACCCCGATATAATAGTGATATTAATGTGTCCATGTCATTGAGTGAATTAAAGTATCGAAGACGTGTTTAACAAGGTGTCCCTTTAAGAAGTGATATATGTGTATTGACATACGAGATAAGATAAGCGTACCGACGCCGAGTAAATAACATCCCGGCCACGCTACCAAGTTTCCGATCTTTACATCCCTACTCTCTATTCTTCCTACTTATATGTAATTCTCTTCTCTGTGAGTTTGTCTCATTACACTGGGATCTCACGTCAAATGAACCGAGGAATTATCGGAAAGACGCAACGGGGCGAGAGGTGCTATTATTGGCCTTCGCGACGAGGGTACACGCAACGCTCGATAACTCGGCAGAATGGGGCGAGCGAACCCTCGGGCATCGCGATGGGTTACCCGCCGCTAAACGACGGGCGACGTGCCGATTAAAATCTTATTTTGACGTTAAACCGACACCATTTACGTATCAATAATATTTGGCAGATCCCATTTACACCGATATATTGTATATTGCTGTAGCTGTTCACTCTAATATCAACTACTATTTGCTCGGTCACTCCTCAAAAATCAGACGTGTCGTCGACGACTATATTGTGCATCTCCGTACGAATGAAACCGTCACTACGACACGGTGGCGAAACGTATGCCCCGAGGTCCGTCTCGGTCTCGCTCGTGACGTTCCAAAACTCTTCCGTTTAATGTATTGTAATCCTCGGTCAAGGGCTTCTTTACATTAATATAGCTTAATGGATTTCTTGTTATAGTAAAGCATATACTGTACGGTCGTATGTCACACGAGGATGACTCCTTCTCTCGCTACCCGCCGTCTATGGCTATTGCTCATATAGTGAACGGCTGTACCTGTACCAACTTATGCCGATGCACTGGGGATAACAGCAAAGAATTTCATCTAGAGTTTCAAATTTTACATCTAGAAAATTCAATCGATACTTTTTGGGGGACCGTACATCATTTGGGGGGGAACTGTTTTCAATGTAGAAAAGTATCTTGGCTTTTATAATGCGAGTCTATAGGAATATTGATTCGATTTACTATAGGCTTTTGTAAGACACAGTACTCTTATAAACTGGGGAATGCCTGTAGAACTTTCCTAACATTCAAAGTACCACAACAATATTAAATACAATACCACAGAGTACTTGAGGTCCAGTAATCTTTATGTCCAGCCAACTTCATTCTAGTTCACATCAGGTCCACTGTAGGCAGTGATGGAGAAAGTGCCTGAAAATATTACTTGAGATAAAGTACTGCACTGTTGATATGTAAAAATTTAAACTATGTACTGTAGTCTTCTTCAAAACTATGCAAATAAAAGTTTAATTAACTCAACTGATTCATATAAGTAGAAAAAAGTATATAAAGTACCGCAGCATTTGTAGAGTATCATAATTAATAAACAATGACATTGTGTTTTGAAAATGAAGCTTAAAGTTATTAATATACTGTACTGTACTTTAAAGAAACACGAAATAAACACACATTCAAAATTGTGTATGGGATGGAAATCGTGAATCTGGGCCATATTTTT